GAATGAATATAATATTCATGACGTCTCTGAATGAATATAATATTCATGACGTCTCTGAATGAATGTAATATTCATGACGTCTCTGAATGAATATAATATTCATGACGTCACTGTATCTTTCTCATGATTCTACTCAGAAGCTTTATTCCGTTTACTTCGACAAATTTGCAACTAGTTTTAGCATCCCATCGAAGATAAGGCGTTTCCAATAATTTATTCGCAGGAATGACTTATTACTTCATGAATTATTGGAATACGACCGACCCAATCGCATTCAGTTTCGTCTCTTCCAAATCCAAACACTTAAAATACGAATCTGCTGCCCAGCTGCACCAAGGGCAACGGGGCAAGGAGGTCGAACGGTGAAAATAGAGTGAAAGTCTTTCAAGTGTATACACAATTATTGTGCCGCTTTTTAGTCAATTCACAATTTTTCTCGTTCTTAGCGCTGGCAAGAAGAGGGATGATGTTCTCCCTTCCCTTCGCCGTCGTTGTGAGTCTCTTCCAAGCCCAAAACTTACGAACTTGCTAATTGGTGCAACATCTGTACACACTTCGTCACACCCCGCCCCTTTGTTCCCCCCTCGACGCACGAACACAAGCCGAAATGTTCTCACATTTCCTCACATTTTCCCCTTGCAGGTGAGCGCATCGTTCCTGCTGACGGCGCGCCTCGCTCTGGCTCCTGGGTCGGGGGAGGCGGCTTCCCGTCCGCGAATTCGCAGGCACGCGTGAGTCCGTCGACAAACTTTTCTATCGCATTCGAATGAAGGCTCATGAAACTATTTTTTTTTTCTGGAACTGCAGATTGGCCGAAACTGTAGTCTGCCATGAACATTTCGTGGATATCGCTTGGAAGTATACCATGACCTCAAGCGATCGTGTCGTTAATAGATGAAGAAATTCGAAAGGAAGACCATTTATAAAGTCTCCCCGTGTAACGACGAGAGAGCTCTGCTGACACGTCATTGCCCTTTCAACATATTTTTTGGCTTTAACCCTTTAATTGGAGTATTTTTTAATTTTTCGGTGGGAAAAAAACTGTTGGGTTCCACCTCGATCCAGGAGCACAGGAAAAATAGATAGAACAAATAAATTCTTCCTGGAATTTGTCATTTGATGCCCCGAAATTTGCAAATATGAAAATAATACATGGTGTAGTAGATATGCCAAAGTATTCAGTTCTAGTCGGTGCAAAAGTAGTGACTCCTCTGGGTGGAGCAACCTGAATGATTCCCTCTCGACAGGATCGCCTACGCGGAGGCTGACACAGACGCGGAGGCGGAGGCCGAGGCGGACCCGCTCTTCAGCGACCCGCCGGGAGGGAGGTGGAGGAAGCACAAATACGGCGCTCATAGGGTTACCGTTGGACGGCTTGGGGTTCGCTTGAGGGCGCTGGGACGCCGTCGATGAAAATCCACGAAACAAATTTTTTTTTTCTCTCTCTCTCTCCTTCTCTCCCTTGTTTCACAATCTGCCGTTACGAAAATGATTGAGTCGTCGAGAAGCCGAGTGCGAATGTCCGTCCATCTCTACTGAATCGATACGTCCGGATTCCTGTTCAATCTCTCATATTCCCTGCCGAAGCAAAGAAGCGTTCCTCTCAGTGCGTCCAATTCAATTTCCTCAGAAGCTTCTGAGGAAAGAGAGGGGACGAGTGGGCGAGAAGTAAAGTCCTGTATCTCGCGTCATCCGTCCAGGAAAATACATACATTTTCCCAGAACTTCTCTTCGTATCAGTGTGCATGCTCATTCATTTCCTGCTTATTAAAAATGTAGGTTTCTAATATGTTGCTTCTTTGCAGAATTTGATTGTACCGGAATCTGATAATTGATTCGCATGTTCTCTGTGGGGCTTCTCTCATATCGGTGATTCATGATTAATATTAATTTAGTGAGCCTTTTCAATAAATAAAGATTACCTCAAATTAATCTTCAAAAAGTCTCATTTCATCCCGAAGGATTCATTACTTTCGACGGTTTCTTCACAGCCACGTGAGGGAGGAAACTAAGAATAAGAGATTCGTCGAAATGAAAACTGGGCTGGTTTTAGATTTCATCTTCGGCGTGAATTTCCTGATTTGCCCGGTCGCCACCAGCTGCATAAAAACTACGAGGAAAGCATGCAGGAAATGAAACGAGATCCGAATGTGAGTCTTAGAGGAAAGTTGCACACTTTCGCACTGAGGAATGGGGGAGGGCGGGGCACCGTGGGACACTGTGGGTCACCATGGGTCACCATGGGTCACGGGTCACCATGGATCAGGCTGTCTGTGGCTCTCCCCGTCGTGTCGTCTGCTACGTACTTTCCAGCGGGGTGACAAGAAGGTGTAGTTGAAAAAAAAAAGAGTGGTCCCCATCTAACGTTTTTCAGCTTGCGGTTTTCTGTAGAAGACGCTATTTTCGTTTTTGTCGTCAGTGACATCTCCAATTTTGCTACTTTTCTTTTGATGAAAAGTCTTCATTCTTACTTGAATTGGATTCGGGAGACCGGTGAATCAATGCCTTCGGGTGTGAGCTACAATCTCTAATATTTTACTCATTGAAATCTTGTTGCGAACACGACGCCTTATGTCCCTGTAAGCGAAGAAATCATTCCTGCAGATGGCATTCATTTGCCAGCCTCCCTTCACACCGAAAGCAAACGTAATAAGTCTCGTTGTCATCCGCCTCCCTCTTCACACGAGCGTGGAACCTGGTCTCTCCTCCACAGCCTTTCCGAATGCAAACGGGTGGAGTTGCTTCGTCGTCCGGGAGTCCGTACTCCCTCAAATATGCGGTAGATTTCTCTTTTTTCTGAATAACGGAATCAAACTCCGAGAAACGCATCCTGAGCGGATAACGGTCCTCGAGGATTTGACCAGGTTTTTATTTTGAACTCGCGCGGAAAGGCGTGGAGAGCATTACGGCTTCGTATTGGAACGCTACACGTTCAGATCAGATTGACTTGATCTGCAAGGAAGAACAACTGCAGGTAGTTCGCACCTCATTCTTATGCCGCTTATCTTTAGGTATGGATAAAACACCGTCTCTAATCAATTGGCTTTGGTAGCGGCTATTACCTTTCTCCAACCCCTTCCCGCGGCAAAATTCAACCTCCTCGTATTCCTCTCTGAAAGCATCATCAGGAACGGAATTTGGAATACTTCTTCCTCTCGCCACAGAATCGCTCCAGCAAATTTGAAGCTCCATCTCCCCGGGGTTGTGGAGAACGCTGAATCTCGTTTTCGGAGGATGTGAATTTCATTCCGTTTTTGGTTTTCTTTTCTTCCCCCCCCCC